CAAATCATTTAAAAATGTATTTTTTTTTGTTTTTTTTTTTTTTTTTTTTTTTTTTTTTTTTTTTATTTAATAAATATAAATTTCACGTAATTGTCCGAAATTACGAATCTATTATGTAAACTACTTCGCAAAACCATCTACATTACCTTCTATCCATTCATTATGAAATTAATTAAAATATTCCATTTATTTAATTGGTTATATATATTTTCATATTTCAATACATTATATAACAAATTTAGAATCATATTTTTCTGGTTTACGTAAATTTTAATTAATAAACATATATAATCTGTAAACTTCGATTATAATTCTATACGATATTCATTATTGATATAAGTAACTAACAAATCTTATATTAAATGAATAAAAATTTATTATTAATATTTGCATAATAAACAAAATTTATTTATAAAATTATTGATTTTAATTGGAAACTTTTTTTTGTTATAATAATTCGTTATCAACGCATAATTCATTCTATTAATATTAACTGATCGTTCTGTAGATAAATTATGATTCAAAAATCATCCGTACGGATAACACCAATTGTACATAAAACTAATGTCAGATCAAAAAAAGTGTACAATATTACATAATTTTTTATACAAATTAATGATCATACCAAGCAATTGTCAATTGTCAATTATAAATTATTATTATTATTATTATTATTATGAATAAAAGGATTTGTGCAAAGTTTCTTTTGAGTTTGTACAAACTGCAAACATAATTAAAAAACCTCCAATATTTAAAAACATATTTAAATAAATATATTACATACAATGCGAAAGCAGAAATAAGATATGAATATTTCAAATATTATCTAATACGGTTGTCCTACTTCTCAAATTCGGTCCAAATTATCCATTACTTTATGCGTAATTTGAATTTTTTAATAAATATGGGATCAAATAGAATCTATCAATGAAAAGCAAATAATAATGTTTTCAACAGATATTAAGATTTTTGCACATCGTTACATCATTTAGGTTGAGTACACCTACATTTTCCAAATTAATTTTTTCTACGCACATGATAACATCGATCGGTAAACTTAAATATGACCTTTATCATTTATATAAAAATAATAATAGTAAAACAACTTATTTCCGTAAAATGTTTAAGTCCAAGGAAAAAAAACACAATTAAATTATTTTTTAAACTGCTTAAATAATTGATGATCTTAATGACTAAAACTAAATTATTAAAAATAATGAAGGGTATATATTAAATATTAAGGAAAATTATACATTTATTAAAATTATTTTTAATATTTTATGTATATAGAAATTTCGTAAAAGTGCAGCAATTTAGGAGAAACGATTCAAAAATCGCAAATATCGAATTTGTTCAAAATTATTTGTAATCGTTCTTTTCGTGTCCGTTAAAATGAAACAATTTTAACAAATAGACATTTTACGGTTTTTTAAAATTAAAATTTCTTACTATTAATATATTTTAAATACGCATACAACTTGCATAAGATTTATAAATATGCGCTATCGTTTCGAGAAGATAAATTATAACGTTAATTATAATTAAACAAACTTACATAATAATCGTATTAATGATTATCATTACGAAAGATATCGTATTATTTACAGCCAAAGTTTAAGAATTAGACTAATAATTTAAAAAATAATTTTTTTACCATCCAAATAGTTGAGTACTTTTAAAAAAATAAATAAAATAAGTCCTGAAGGATATAAAAATAATAAAATCTGATTAAAATTTAATAAACAGGCAGGTAAATAAATAAAAAAATACCATTTTTTAACTATGAAGGATAACTGCAGTAAAACTATAGGTTAATTGGAATCCGATACTTTGTTCAAATAATATTTTGACAAATAATATTATTATACACATGAATATTTAAACGAAGGGCTTTCAATTTTAACACTTTATTCGTGACTTAACAATGAACTACAAACATTCTTAAGCATTTTTCAATTTCACTTTTACCAATCATTTATATACAGCACTTATATTTATAATTATGCATATATGATTAGAAAATTAAGATAAAGTCTTATTAAAAAAAGCATGAAATTAAATGAAAAATTTTCTATTACTATTGAGCTGTATTATAATATACAAAATTCAATAAACATGAATATATCTTTTGTAATCAGGTACAAATACTATTTATTGTATCGTAACTTTAATCTCATAATTGTGTAAAAAATATTCATAAATGCAAGTCATTCATAATTACAAAAATCACATTTTTTACATAAATGTAAAAATTTTTTGTTTTATATATAGGTTTGCAAGAATAGAATGGATTTTTTTATTTGCGTTTGAATGTATATTTTCGACAAATATAACAGTGTTATTGTCATAATATTTTATCACAAATTTTATTATATAAATACAATTTGTTTACGTAGCTCTCAAATATATTAACTAGCATAACATTTGAAAAATTTTATTTTCGTGTAGCACCGCTATTAAGTTACTTAAACAATACTCTAAACGATGAAAAAGAAAAAAAGAGGCATAACGATAACTTTAAATAAATAAAATGTACTATAAACGTAGTTATATATTATTATCTAATAGGCGAGACTGCAATAATTATACAACTTGATCAAATTTTCGATAGAAAACGAGGTTCGAATTTATAAGAATTACATTAGATAGGTAAAACAAAATTTATTTCTAACTTCTGGCGGTTATATATCAAACTAGAACTTTGCATGCATATCATGAGTATAGATCCCGATGCTGCTTTAAAAAAAAAAAAAAAAAAAAAAAAAAAAAAAAAAAAAAAAAAAAAATAATAATAATCTTGTGAGCTGTTTGGAAAGTTTGACAGGAGAATATTAGATGTAGGATTGTAACATGCCCAATCAAACCTTTAAATTTTCATTTACTAATTTAACTAATTAGAGAATTCAAAACAAAATGTTCCTTTAATCTCATTAAACCGGTCGTCTTTCTATGGTGAAAAACTGATAAATAAGTTAACATATGTACGTATGTATCGGTGGATGCGTGCTTGTGCGTGTGCGTGTGCGCGTGTATGAACATTTTTATTGGTTATCTATTAGTCGAGAAAGAAGCTCAAAAAATGCACTTTTATTTAACAAATTTCTTTCAAGCTTTATAAAGTCAGCATGAAAAATATTGAAATATGACCAAAAATAAAATGGTATTACGTATGCTTAAAATAATATATTTCGCGGCCTCCAATAAACATTTTTATGAAAAATCATCTTTAATAAATTAAAAAATAAGCATACATTATACACGATCGATATTCATTCGTGGTCATACTTTTTATAAAAAAAATCATTATTTCGGATTACAAAAATATAATTCTTTCCTACGATGTACCTCACGACTATCGATACAGTTATGTCTTTCAGGCAACAATAAAAATATTGAATAAATATTGAATTATATTTATGAACTAGAACAGCTATTGGATTCGAATTGTAATTAATAATTGTAATATACGTATATGACAAATAAGTAAATGAATAGTAACTACAAATTTCTTACGTTGGTCTATAAATTTTTGCCTTTACTTTAGATAATTAAATATATCTAGTTAATAATTTAATTGATACCTTATCTTATCTTTCTTCTTTGCCGCTTTCACAAACGAAGAAATATAATGTTTAATTATTTCTAAATTGATACATACTTTATATCGCTTTATATTACTATATTTTATTTATTTATGCTAAGAGCAATTCTCAATTCCATATACATACTTCATATTACATTAAAAAAAAAAAAAAAAATCTTGAAACTAAGAATATTTCATTAGCCAACTTTATACTGCATCGAATAACTAATATATCTAATGAAGTATTATTTAATAATATTAAAAAATTAAGTGTAATCGAACATTTGTAAATAGACAGAAAAATATGCTACAGCATTATTTTTTTTTTTTTTTTTTTTTTTTTCCGATACAGCTTAATATACATTAAAATATTCATTTAAATTTGATATGGTCAAAACAATAGAAATGACGAATATGTTAACGATTTTTGCAAATCTCAATAATTATTTTTAACTTTCTAAAAATGTTTTCTTTCCTATAAGCATTAATAGCGTTTAATACAAAGAATGTTAATAAAAATTCAAGCCTATATTAAATTAATATTTGCAAAAGTATTAAAAATCTAAGCAAATAAAATTCCATAATGCGAAAGTACTTTTCGCTTTCAACAAAAATAATATAAAAAGTGGGAAATGAGGGAACAAAAATTTGACTAATTATGTAGAGAAGGAAATGGCTAAAGAAAAGAAGAGACAGAGCTTCAATTGGCGCCTGCTTAATTACTCTCATACACTACTGATAATTAAATAAGATAACAGATTAAATACTGAATGACAGTTAATTGATTGATAAATAAAAAAATTTATTAAGTTGGATAAATAAAAAAAAACTGAAAAATGAAGAAATAAAAAGGAATGTGATCCAGCAATTGGTATAGTTACATCTGCCGGCATTAAACCTGAAAATCTTCCAACATTGTATTCAACAATAGCTTGCTGATTTAGCATTTTATGTATATGTATTCCATTATCAATTTATTCCCCAAAAATTTAACATAATAAGAATTCATATAAATATTACAATAAAAAAATAAAACAATAAACAAAAGAAAAATACAATTTTTTAACGAGCTTTGACGTCGCGCTGTACAAGCGTGACGTTGCGTGTATTTGTCAAATATGGAAGAAAACCTTTACCACTTTTGTGTATCTCATATAATCGATATATTTTTAATATTTTGCACACGAAATGAAACGCATCTATGTATGTCATTTAAAATTTATCATGTATATTACACTCGATTATGTTTGTTATAAATTCATATCGAAACACCTCAATTAATTGTATATAATTAACTAAATGTATGTTATTATAATTACGTGTAAATACTATTAAATTGAAAGGAGGAAGAAAAGTATAAAAATAAGAAGTCAAGTGATACCAATTTGGTAAAATCTGACTCTAGTGTATTACTCACTTTAATTTCCAGTTCCTTCACCCGCAAAATCGTATCAAAAGTTGCTCCACCAATCACCACCTTTATAGATAAATAAATAAATTTTTAATTTAACTATATATATATATATATATATATATATATATATATATATATATATATATATTATGTCTATATATATATATATATATATATATATATATATATATATATATATATATATATATATATATATATATATATATATATATGTCACGTACATCTTATATATAATATAAAAATATTCATTCGGTTCTGTGAAAAAAAATTTTTTTTTTTTTCTTCTAATATTTTTTTCAATTAATTCGTAGAAAAATTGAAATTAGCGATTTATAAATAAATGAATGAAATAAGTATAATAATAGATTCAATCTTTTATTAATTTAAAATTACAAGTTATATGTACTTCATCCTTTGTAAATCTTCATTTTAATAAAAATTTTTGCTTTTTAATTAAAATATGTAATACTCATTTTATAAAATTTCATGTGCATTGTGTGTATGTCTCTATTGTTGGTTGTTTGTTCGCTCTGTGCATGTGTTTTGCGCGCCCGCGTGCCTATGCATGCCTGCGAATTACGTTTACATATGCTCGTGTAATTACATTCTTAGAAACATACAGGGTTCTCGTTCGGTTTTGATGAATTAGAAGAGGTGGCGTCTGATACGGAAAAATTGTTTTGAATCTTATGAAGATGCAATGCTATGTCGGCTGCCACCGCAGCATTTTCCTTCAAAAGAACTTTGTCTGTAATAAACGAATTAATATATAATTAACATGATAGCTCTCAGAAAATAATAATGAAGAATAAAGGGCAATTGCGTTATTAGAAAGCTAGTAAAAATCAAAATGAAAATAAAAATAATGCAGTCGTGTTATAAAGACGTACTAGTTTCAAGAGAACGACCGCTAGTGAGTCTTGTCAACTCCGAGAGAAGGAAGGGTGTAACGTCTTTGCCGCTGATATTTTTTATTCCAGCTGAGTCAAGCGCTTGCTCCAAGACCGCTTCAATCCTATTAGCTTCGATGGAATAAGGTTCAGGAACAGGTACAGCCAGCAAAATTCCCATATCTAGTCCGAGCTGCATTTGCGTTGCAATGAGTGCGCCAGCCTCTTTAGCGTTGGACACTTGCATTGGAGATTTTATACCATCGACTGTTTGCTGACTATAAAACGCTGGAAACAAATTTGTACCTATCGTTACCACCGGTACTCCTTCACTTTCCTGAAAGTTCAAGGCTTTCATATTTAAATTCTGACATTATTAATATTTATTCAATTAACTTAGCGAAGACATACTTATATTTAAATAAAAACAAAAACAAAACAAAAAAAAAACAAAAAAAAAACAAATTATACGCAATAATTCAACATTATATTTTACAATTATTTTAAATTTAAATAAACATTTTACAAAAAACATAAATGACATAAATATAGGGGAAAAAAAATAAAATAGATAATATTTTAAATGAATTATAAATCTTAAAAATATAATAACTCAAATATAAAACTCAGTAGTGAAATAATATAAAAATTTCATATTACATTAAAAAAATTTCACTGATGATGATGATGATGATGAATGAAAATCTCATGATTAGGAATTTTGCATTGAATTTTATTGAAAATCTATTTAACATTTAAAGCATTATATTATAAGAAATAAAGCATCAACAGAACTATAATGTGACATTGATGCGAAGAACAAACATGTTAACTCGCGAGATAGATACCGAATACATCATTAAGCATTTATTGGATATTTAGATAAATTTTTCAATCACAAGCAATAATTCAAAACAATGTAACTTAAACGCAAAAAAACGTTAAATTATTTTTTTGAGAAATGTTGACTATAGTGCGCAAAGATATAAATAAAGATCTGAAAATGAATATAACTAAGAAAGGTAATAATCATTTAGTGATGCCGAGGATAGAAAGCTGAGAAATAAATAAATAACAGTATAAGTTGACAAAAATTAAGAATAATTATGTGATTTTTTTGGTAGCTTTAACATAGATTTTTACAAGTCACTGCAGACATAGATTCAAACTAATAAAACACTCACTACTAAATTTTTTAGCAGAAATCAAAGATTATATACTATGAACCTTCAAATTTTTACAAGAATTATAATCGAGGAAACTAGAAACTAAAAAAACCAGTGGAATATACCATTAATGAAATTATTTTAAACAATGTAGCTGCAAAACTTTTAACAATTTACCACTAGTAACAAGTTATCAGTAACTAATAATTCGATTCAAACACAACGACAGATCAACTCCCCTAATGATATTAAATATATATATTAAACATAAAACATTAAATAACATTTTATTTTATGTCTTTGACAAATAAAATAATGGATGGAGCAGTGGAAACTATAAAATTAATATGGTTACTTGAATGACAACGGTGGGCACAATACTTGAAATAAATAACTTTAAACTTGCAAGTTGCTTAGTGTTGTAAATATGGAAATAATACTAATTAGCAATAAACCATGTGTTGTACTTATTAAAGAATATGTAAAATAATATTTGCAAAAGCAGGAGAGAAATCACGGGTTGAAGTTTTAAAAAGAATTTACAATCAGATTACTCAAAATTCTATACCGGCGCAAAAGTAATATTCTTAATAATAAATGACTAAATTTATAAAATCAATCAAAAAATTCTATAAAATATGAAAATATATCATTTATAAGAATAATGACATTATCACAATTGAGTTTTAATAGATTACTTGCTGATAAAAACAAAATCGTATGGTAAATTACGTGTATTAATTATAAATTAAATATTGTGCTGCAAAAGAATAATTCAAAATATAAACTCCAAATTAGAAAGTCCGAGCATAGCTCAATAGTTGCAAAAATAAAGAATATTTATTAAAAATAAAGAACATTAAGAATAAAGAAATTTTAACAGACTTCGAGAGTAACAAATTCAAGTATTGCGATGAATGAATAATGTAATATGAAATCCAATAGAAATAGTTATTAAATTTTAATTACAAAAATTAAGTGGTATCGTAATAAAGTAAATAAAGTAATACAAAAACATTTAAATTATATTTTTCATTAGTAATTAATTATACATTTGTATGGAGTAAAATAAAAATTAAATTAATGAACCTATTTATTTCATAATGCTCAACTTAAAAAATTTATCGATTTATATATGGAATAATTAACTGTTAACAAATTTTTGAAAATAGTGTCTTTTAGTATAAACACGTATTCATGTGTTTATAATAAATTTATAAATTTTTAATGCACGGACATTAATTCTATTATTATTATTTATTTTTAATAGAAACATAATTATTTAAGTAATATGTTAATTGTATATATAAATTTCTTCTACATTTATATACTCATACTTATTTTATTTACCATTTTATATGGAAAATCAAAAGTATTATCCTAATATAATTATATTTATATTGTAAGTTTTTAAAATTTTCATTTTATTTCAATGTGTCATAAACTAAAGAATTCAAACTATTTTTTGACTATTCACAAAAATCATTCTAAATTATTTTATATTTATGATAACTAATATCCTTCTTAATATTTAATTTACTATAAATAATTTTTCAAATATCTCAACTTTGTATATGTACAATTTATTAAAAATATTTATAATAACATATGTATTGCTTGCTCACATATACACAACTATATTTATTAAAAATTATTAATTTATTATGATATTTATATAATGAAAATTATATGATTTTTTATAAATTTAAACATTTTTTTTTTTTTTTTTTTTTTTTTTAAATATATTATTTCATATTAATCTTAAGCAATAGCTTACTTATCACTTTCAAAATATTATCAAATACATCATATAGAATTGAATTTAATTAATTGGTACAAAAATTTTATTAATATTTAATATTTTTACTTATCTGTAAGTATTAAGTCGTGAATTATATTTACAAATGAATTTACTATTATAAAATTTAATATATTTTGATATTTTACATTTCATATCAATTTTGATTTGTAATAAAAATATAAACAGTACAATATTATATAAATCTATAAATTTTTTGTTATTTCATTATATAAAAAATTGCAATTAGAAGTAAGTTAATGAAACAAATTTATAATGTTAATTATAATATAATATAGTATTATTATTCTTACCAAATACTCTAAAGTTTTAGATACATCCATAATTGATTTAACGCCAGAACAAACAACAGCTACAGATGTCTGTCCAAGCTCTTTAAGATCTGCACTTATATCCATACTAAATTCAACGTATCGATGAACACCTCCAATACCTCCAGTTGCCATTATTGGAATATTGGCTTTTTTAGCTACAAACATTGTAGCGCTAACTGTAGTTCCACCACTTAAACCATTTGATATAGCATAAGAGAGATCTCTCCTGGAAATTTTGACAAGATTTTTTCTTTCACTTTTAGCTAATCTTTCTATTTCTTTTTTATTGATTCCAACTTTTATTTTACCATTTACAACTGCTATTGTAGCAGGAATTACACCCTGAAAAGTATTTTTTAGAATTGCCTTTTACAATAATATATAATTCAATTAAAGTAAAATTAATTAGCAATATTATTATTAATATTATCAAATTATTACATTAATATTATTTAAAAAATTATAACTCATTAAAAGAATTTATTAATAATTATCAAACCTTTTGTCTTATAATATCTTCCGCTTCCAGTGCTGTAGCCAAATTATGTGGATATGGCATGCCGTGTGTAATAATTGTTGATTCCAAAGCCACAATGGGCAGACCATTTGTTTTTGCAGCTTTAATATTTTCTCCATATGATAATATTTTATTATTAATATGATAATTACAACGAAGCATAATATTTATAGCATCGTTGGATACTCTTACTAGGTTTTTAACTAAATAGTTACATTTAATAGAAATCATTATAAGATAATTATAAAATTTTATAATTAAAAAATTCTTATTTTATTTAATAAAAAATTAACTGAATTGTGTTCATGACTAAAACAACAGTAGTTTGATTATTTATACTTATTAAAGTTTTACTCGGTTATTGTACTTAAAATTGCATTTTACTATTATGCTTAAAAATACAATGAAATTATTCAATTATAAAAGTTAAATCATTCATTAGTTCGGAACTATTAAAACCGGTTTATTCCAGATACTTTTTAAAACAAAAAAATAAGGTTAGAATCTCAAATCACTTATCAAAGCAAAGAATATTCGAAACGGAATTCAAGTTTTTATAATTACGAAATATGCTAATGAATTTAAAAATTTTCATGGGAAATCCAGCAAGTCATTGAAGTTCAACACGAACTGGTCTTTAGTTTGTTCGAAGAATTGAATACTTATGAAAACGTACAAAGTGAAATAAGATTTATTTTCTTTAAAGAATAAAATAAATTGATAAAATCTTTTGATACACAATGAGCAATGATAAAAATCATTCAAGAAAAAATGGTTTCATTGGGCAAATTTATTTACTTGCGTACAACTTTCTTCAAATTATAGGGTAAAAACTTAAAATTTATTTTATTTTATTGTATTTATCTATAAAAAAAAACACTGTTTTTATAATATTACTACTGATGAGTATTTATTTACATTTTAGATGGAGTTATATTCTGTACAAGTTAGTAAATTATTATATAGGAAATAAAGATAATAATCAAACTTTATGGGAAACTGTTCGATTTGCTGTTAACATTTTTCAAAATGCTGCCATACTAGAGGTATAAATTAATATTTTGTTAACATTATTCATCTTCTTCATTATGCATGATAATTAAATCAATTAAACTTTTTATTAGATTTTAAATTCAATTACTGGATTAGTAAAGTCAAATCCAGTAATTACAACATTTCAAGTTTTAAGTCGAGTAGTAGTTGTCTGTGGTGTTATACAAGCAACACCTTCAAATTATGCAGCAGCATCACTTGGTCTACCTTTAGCGTTATTAGCTTGGTCAATAACTGAAATCATTCGATATAGCTATTATTTTACCTCTCTCGTTGGATTCATACCATATTTTCTTACATGGCTAAGGTAGATTTACATGAATTATAAGTATGCACGCGCACGCTCCTTATTTTAACTATTTTTTAGGTATACGACATTTATTATATTGTATCCAATTGGAGTAACTGGAGAACTTCTATGTTGCTATGACGCTACAAAGTATGCAATTTCTAATCCAAACGCATGGAGTTATACGCTTCCCAATGCTTGGAACTTTACTTTTAGTTATCATTATACTCTTCTCTTTTTAATATTGTTATATTTTCCAAGTGAGTATTAATTTTTTCAAATTTCTTAAATTGCATTTAAATTAAAAAATGTACTTCATTATTTTTTAAAATCTTTTACAGTTTTTCCTTATCTCTATCTACATATGATTTCATTAAGGCACAAAACATTGGGAACTACTAATAAAAAGAAAATATAAATTTATAAGAAAAATAGTTTATAAATTTAAACTATTATATCATAATGATATCTAGTACATTTTAAATAGTAAGAAGATAAAATTAATTTTTATAAATATATCATTATGTGCAATTTTAAGGTGATGTAATTTCAACATAAATTTTTATATTTAATATAAAATTCAAACTTACGAAAGTAAATGTTTATTTCATTTTTAGTGTTCTAAGCTACCGTTAAAAACCAATCACAATCATTACACACAAAAATATACTAATGTATATGATAATCGCTTTCATATATATTGCCAAAATTTTTTCAATCATATAAAATATTTAAAACTTCATGGTTACAAATTATAATATAATATTCTTTATATATCTATACTCATGAATTAAATACTATTGATATTATTAATGAATTTTGTACAGCTACATCAATTAAAAATACTTAATTAACAAATATAAATTATATTAGTTATAAAAGAAGAAATTTTTAAAAAAACTTTAATTATTCCATTTCTATAATATATTAAAAATTCTCATTTTAATTATACTAAATATATATAAAGTCTAACTTATATTTTATATTTACGTTAGAAAATTATAGAAAACTATTAGTTATAAATAAATAAACTGAATATTATTTGAATTATTTCTAAATAGAATTTTTCAAGAATGTTAAAATGAGATTAACGAACAAATAATATAATTATAAAATTTTTTTATTTATAATTGAATAAAATATTTATAACAATGTTTATGCCTGCTCGTTCGTGGGCATAGATTTGATAATATCAGAGTTACCAGGATCTGTGATAGAAAGTGTGCATACCCTGAAATATTTTCCACACGCAGTGCCGAGCTCAATATTGTTTCCTGTGTAATGATGTACGCCAGTTTTTGCCAACATGGCATAATACTCAATTTCTGATTTTCTGTGAAATCCAACATAAAGTTAAATAATTTAAAATGAAAATATTTAAAAAATTTTCATTAGTTGTTCTTATGAACAGTGATAGGAGACTACTCCGCAGTACTCCTTAAAAAAAAAAAAAAAACATAATATAAAGGAATACTACATCTCAGTCTCTCACCTCAATGGGGGGGTATTATTAGCAATGATAACCAGCTTAGCTTTTCCTTGGCGAAGAGATTTCAATGTTTGTTTATAGCCTAATACATATTTACCAGATTTCATCACTAAAGCTAACCGAGAATTAATACTTTCCATTGCCTTTTTCTATAATAAAAAATATATAAATAAATATTAGTGAGTTTTTTTTTTTTTTTTTTTTTTTTTAAAATACTTAAAAATAAATGTATATTTATGTATTCTGATATATATCTGATATAATCAGATTGCATAAAACTGATAAATGTAATAACATCTAAATAAATACGAATCTATTATTCGTAAAATCAATAATAAATTTTCAATATTTATATGAATATTAATAGATAGAAATTCAAATACAGTTATTAAAATTCTAAAAATTATTGGATTTAGGAATTGTTAATTCATACAATCATTAAATTTTTGAATTATCTATTAGCACGTGTGAAACTAACCTAAATACTAACCTGTTTCTTTTGGGCAACCATTTTGATGGGTTTGATGTACTTGACAATGTAATATTAATATGAAAAAAAGCGATCTACTGTAATATGTTCAAATTTTTATTCAATTATAAACGTAAAACAATACAATCTGATAAAAAAAACCGGATCTTGAGACATAAAACTCAATCCACGCTAAAGTTTATACCCAGAAAGAAATAAAAAAATGTTGATGACAAATGGCAAAGATTCTCAACCTTTTTATGACTTGCGCAATTTGATCTAAGCTTATTGGATGGATGAAATTTTCCCAATTTCAAAATGGAATTCACAGGGTATCCAAACAAATATCCCTATCAAGTAATACTTTTCTTCTCTAAAAAATATATATTACCTTTTTTATGAGTTAATTCAAGTATAAAGTATTAATATTTATTTGAATAGCAAAAAAGACTATATTGTTAGACTAATTTAAGTTTTTAGTAAATAAAGAGTAAATAAAAAGTTTCCATACAAAATATAAACTATATATAATTATAATTTTATAAATTAATTTTGGTATTTTTAACGAATGAATATATAACAGCACCTTTGCTAAGAGAAAGTTTTCTTTTATTTTTATTCCATTTCCACTTCCACTTCCACTTCCACTTATCTCAATACGAAATACTGTTATTAATTTCAAATATCTGCATTCATAAATTTAATATTTAAATTTAAAATGTCTAATAAAACGATCGAATACGTGGAACCTAATAAATACATTCAATTGACATAATTTCAATTTAATCTCAATAAGAAATATATTTACATCAAATATATTATGTTTAAAGTAATATTAAAAATACAAAATTACATTATCTAAACAAAATCTAAACAAACAATATATTTCAACCTTCATTTCGCATTCATAAAATAATACTGCATTTCTTGATAAATCGTACAAAATAAGTTATTAAAACACAAGTTTATCAGTTTTCAAGTAATTATAATACGTTGAGAAATTTGTTTTTAATGAAAGAATAAAAATTGCTGTTCAAAAAGTAATCTATGTAAAGCATTAAATATTTACTTTACATTTTACATTTTAATTACATTTTAAATAGAAAATATAAATATATACATTCGTATATGTATTATGATATTAGTTTTTTTTTATGGTTACAGAATAATAATTAACCAACTTATTATCCAATAAATTAACTTATTATCTAATAAATTTTAATTATCAATAATAATATATTAATGAAATTTATAATAATATAAAGTTTAATTAAATAAAATAATAATACAATAATATTCAAAAATAATGTTTTTATTATATTCTTTTTAAATATTCATACATCTAGCCAAGATGAACATGCTGAGCAAAATGTATAACATTAATAATTTATCTATCTATATAAATGCACTTATTGTTTAAATTAATCGTTGATCTAATAAAGAACAATTTCATTAATAATTTATTTAAAAAAGTCATAACAAAAATTATACAAAATTATAGAAAATAATAAAATTATTTTTATCATAAATTTTCATTTGCTACCAAAATCTTTTTAAAGATTTATTTATTTTATTATAAAAGGACTTTTATAGAGCATATGTTATAAAATATTTAATACAATGTTTTAATAGTATATAACTACTATTATAAGTTTTGATTTTGAACATCTATATATTATTGAAATTCTAGTAATAACTATAATATTAAATAATATTAAAATATTTTAAAGATATAATACGAAGTATTAAATAGTAAATAGCTTAGAAATATTTTTTTATAAATTTATTACTAATATTATTTTTACCGTACTGTCTACTATTTATATTGTTCAATTAGTTTTAAACATTCTTTTACAGACGGCCTTCTCGAAAATTAAATACGACTTCATAATTTTTTTAACCTTTTCAATTTCTTTTAAAATATCCTTGTTGTTAGGATTTTCTTCGTTAGCACTTTTAAGATCTGCAAGTCCTAATTTATAATCATTTAGCCTCATATGTGCCTGACCTCTTCGAAACAGTGCTTTACTATTTTTTTTGTCAATATTTAAGACCTGATTACATAAATTTAATGTATCTCGATGTTTAGATTGTTTAAGTTTTACCGCTGCCAAATTCAACAGCACAACTACTTTTAATTCTTCAATATCACTATTATGTTTTAGATTACTTTTTATTTTTATCATCCAATTATAATATCTCAAAGCCTTCTTATACTTTTTTTCTGCTGTGCTATATTTCTTTTTCAAAAAGCAAGCATTCCCAACATTTTTTATCTTTTTAATAATATCCATAATATTTTCATAAGTAAGATCATTGGCTTTGGATGAGTAATTCCAATCTTCCGGATATGGTGTATAAACATCTTCACCGTCATTATCTTCTAATCCCCAATTATTGCACCCAGTTAATTCTCCACAATTAATAATACAAATTTTCTCTATAGGTTCGTCATTATTAGTTGGAACCTCGTTCAGATCGTTAATTATACCAATACCTTTTATAACTTTACCAAAAACAACGTTCGTATTGTTTAATTGTGGACAAGAGGCTATTGTTATTACAAACTGTGAACTATTACTATTAGGCTTCCCTTCGTTTACCATGCTAAGAAGACCTTTCGCATTATGACGTATTGATAAATTTTCATCTTCGAAGGTCAATCCATATATACTTTCACCACTAGACCCGTCAAAATTAATTATATCACCTCCTTGTACCATTAATTGTGAAACAATCCTATGAAAAAAGGATCCTTTATAATGTAGAGGTTTGCCATTTATACCATTTCCTTTTTCTCCTGTACAGAGAGCTCGAAAATTTTCAGCTGTTCTTGGTACTTTATCCTTAAAAAGTTCAATTACAACTCGTCCCACTTTTTCATTTGCAATAGCAATGTCAAAAAATACAATTGGATTTTTTGTTAAAATTTTCATCCTTAACGTTAAAGTATACTAAATTAAGAATAATATGTTTTCACTAGCAATATTTCCCTATTAAAAATTAATTCTATTCTATTCTATTCTATTCTATATAAAATAAAATGCAAGAACATTGCATTTGTCATTTCGGATTAGGTTAAAGTTATAATTAAAAAGCAAGGTTAGAATTATATTTTTTATGCATTTATGTTGGACTTTAACAAAGTTTTAATGATTTTTTTATGATGAAACAAAAAATTATACAATCATAGTTAGTAACTTCTTGTTATATTTAGTTAGAAAATTATATATCATAATATATCTGCTTTTTTATTAACTTTTATTTTTTTATGGATTAAAAATTTCATTTTAAGTTAATTAATGTTTATTATATTAATTATGCCACTTCATTAATACTCCTGATTTGTCGTTTCCAAATTATTTTTTCATAAGATAATAATTAATGTAAAATTTTCATTTACGACAAAATTCTGCAAGAAAGATAGTATTTTTCAGAATTAAATTAAATGCAAATGTTAATTTAAAAAATTAATTCTTTTGTTCTAGTAATTCGTATAAGTTTTAATTTGCGCGTCAAAGATATGGAATTAAAATGCTCGATTCAAAATTATTTATGGGGAAAACAAGGTCTGAACAGTATTGTAGCTGCACTTATGAAATCAGCAGATCCAGAATTTATTCCAAAAAAAGAAGTACCCTACGCTGAACTTTGGATGGGAACGCATCCAAATGGCCCTTCCTTTTTAAAACATCAGAATATATCTTTAAATGAATATATACAAAGTAATAGCAATATTCTTGGTAATAAAGTGGAAGAAATATATGGTAAAAAATTACCATTCTTATTTAAAGTATTGTCAATTAATAAAGCCCTATCAATTCAAGTTCATCCGAATAAGGTTAAACTTGATATTATAATTATAAATTAAAAATTAAGGACTAATAATTATATAATTCAATTAAAGTTGATATTTCAATTAGGAGCAAGCAGAGAAATTGCACGAAGCACAACCAGAACTTTATAAAGATGCAAATCATAAACCAGAGATGGCTATTGCGCTTACAGAATTTGAAGCCCTTTATGGTTTTCGTCCCATGGACGAAATATCCTTTTATATACAAAAGATACCTGAACTTCGAGCAGCTATTGGGGTAGATAATATTCCAAGATATAATTCAAGTATCGAGAAAGAAGTACAAAATGTATTAAAAAGTTGCTTTACAAGCCTTGTAACACAGTCTCCTCAAATTATATTTGAACAACTATCAAAATTTAGGAAAAGACTATCTATTATGGGTATCAATTTAGTTGTAATAAAGAAATTAGATAATTATTTTATTATCAATTTCATTGGATTTCAATAAAAATTTGCATTATAGATGAAGATAGACAGTCGCTACACGCTGATCTCATTGAACGACTACATTCAGATTATCCAGGCGATGTTGGTTGTTTTAGCATTTACTTTTTCAACTATATAAAATTACAGCCTGGAGAAGCAATATATATTGGAGCTAACGAACCTCATACGTATCTTTTTGGTGGTAAGTGTATTTATTTTATTATTATAAACATTAATTATTAGAAATTACCAATATTTATAAAATATATATGGATTTTTATTTAAATTTATTCAACCAAATGAAAAGAATTATAATACCGTATTAATTTATTTCTACAAATTGTTATTTAAATATAATTATTATTTTGAAAATTGTGAATTTAAAAGTTTATTTTTATATGATCATTTTTCTTGATAAACATAATACATAGATTTTAAATTAATTTTATTTGTAATAAAATCTTTAAGAAAAGAACGTTGTTGCATACAGTATATTTTATAAATAAGAAAACAGTTGTTAGTAAATAATTTGTATAGAAGTTTCCTAAATGCAATGAGAATACAAACCATGTGAAGAATATAAATAACATTTTTGTTCTAATCAATCCCTTAATAATAACTTAATTAAGAAAATAATTAAATGATAAACATATTTTTACCTGTAATAATTTATATTTATCAAGTAAGCTTTTCAAATTAAATTTTATAAAGAAATATAACGATATTAAGGATAATATTAAAACTATGAATTAACTAATAATTATTATACTTAATATTACCAGAATTTTCATTGATTTTGATTTATATAAATGATGTATTTGTAAGCAAAATAATATATTTACAGAAACAGAATTAATTTTGAAGAAATAGAAATTGTAAAAAAGTATTTGATACTTATGATACTTATCTGTCTTTATTATTAAAAGTATAAAATTTTTTTAGTCTTTCACTAACTATTATTTAAATTTATATCTTCGAGTTATTTATGTTAGAATTTTATAATTTTAAGAAACAGATTAACGCTGGATAAAATTCTTTTAGAAAAAAATGTTTCAATATTGTCCGTATCCATCCACAGGCCTTTAACAATAAATATAACAAATAAAATATTCAATAATTAATTAAGCGTCGGCTCTCTTTATTTTAAAAACTTTAATAATATTTAAACTCAAATAATTGCTATATAAATATTAATTAGAACAATTTCTTAGATTGCATAGAGTGCATGGCTTGTTCAGATAATGTTGTACGAGCAGGTTTAACTTCCAAAATAAAAGATATTGAAACTCTTGTTAGCATGCTGACTTATATCGGTGAACCAGTAGCAGACAAAAAATTTAAGGCATTAAGAGAGGACGAATGCACTCAAATATTTCGACCACCAATTCAAGATTTTGCTGTTGCTAAAATCACTGTATGTCTTTATATTATATTATTATTTCAAAATTAAAATTCTTTCTAAATATATAAATTTTTACCATACTGATATATTTTAGATTGCTCCAGAAATATTATCATATAATTTAATTCAAAGAAATAGTGCCAGCATTTTGATTATAATTGATGGAAAGGCAGAAATTCTTCATTCTCAAATTCTTCATCGCGTTAATCCAGGATCAATCTTATTCATAGAAGCAAATAAAAGTGTCAATATAAAGATGCCAAGTAATTCTGCACCAATGTTAATTTTTCAAGCTTTTGTAAATATTTGATAAATAATTCATTGTTACATAAATTTTGCATTTAAAATTAGATTACAAAAAATAGTCAAAAGGTAATTATAAGAAATATATTAAATAAAGTTTAATATTTAAAAATCTTAAAATTCACTTATATAATTATGATACAAATAATTTCCAATACATTTCATTAAAAAATATATTGATCTATACATGTACATATTGAATACAATAAATTAGTATACAATAACTGTACAATGAAAAATAAACTTTATTGATATTATACAAAATATTTCAGTAATTTGTTCTTGATAATTTAATCAATATACTTTATTTCTGCATCTAAAGAATAATATATAAAAATGATCTTATCCAAAGAATAGCGGTGTTTTATTTCTAAATTTGTTTTTGTCATAAAAAACGTTACATACAATATACTTTTACTTTAAAATCATTAATCGGAGTCATTATTTTTATTCATTTCTGTATTGGTAAGTTTATCGTTCTTATAATGCCTATATTCTGGTTTCAATTCCCACATATTTCTATGAGGATTTTTCAAATTGTAATTACATACTTCATTTAAAATTTCTTTAAGATAAACCTATAAAATAAAAATAAAAAAAAATATATTTTATGCAGTCAAATATATGAGAGAAAATATTTTTCTTACCACAGGCTGTCTAGTTATTTTTACAAGATCTTTTATATTGTAATATTGATGCTTTTCAAAAGCTGCAAACAGCATGTCTAGCACAACATCTTTGTCATCTCTCATTTTTTTACCTTCAGCTTTCTTTTTCTCGGCATACTCAATCTTAAAATAAAAAATATATTTCATTATAAATTATGTAAGTACTTTAAGAAGAAATACATTAACTTGGTGTAATGCGATTGGTAATATATACGGATTCGTAGAGAAACAAAATTTAATTACTTTTTCTGAATATTTTTTTATAAATTTGATTAGAAATGATTGAATTTTATTTTTAACGAAGAGACTTACGTTATGCTTATGATCGGAAACTGGTTTGAAATTTTGCACTGCTCTTTGTAGCTGTTGCACTTGTCTTTGTGGGATCGAAGCTTTCTTAATACTCTCAAGTTTCAATTTCATATAGGTATTATCAGCTAAATAAATAAATTAAGAATTTTGTTAACTCAAATATAATAAGCAAAAGATAAATGAAATATCATTTTGTAAAATATTACCATGTGGACGACACTCCAGTTTTTGAACAATTTTTCCTTCCATAAACAGTTTTTCTGTTTCAGGTACAATAGCATCGGAATTATTATTAGCTAAAATAAAATTAAATACATTTATACAAATGGTAATAATTACATTAATGAAATTTCATACAAATGTAGAAATCTAACGAGTAAGATGAGAAAAAACTCCTAAAGTTTGCTGTATCACAGTAGTAACGTCAAGTTTATGTTGCTTCGGAATATCATGTTCACCAGGTTCTTTAAGTGCTAAAACAGCTTCTGAAAGTTTTAATGTAACTTCTGCTTTTTGTTTAAAATGTCTAAAATAAATACATATATACATATATACAAATATTACATATGACCCAAACACAATTGGATAAAAATAAAAAAGTATTTAGTTACTCTTTTAATACTATTGTATAAACAAAATTTACTTTGTTATTCTAAGTTTTGCTACTTCAATGCTACCAGGTGCTTTCTCCCATTTGCTGGCAATATATTTCGGTACTTTTACAAGCCAAACTCCACGGTCTGCGTTAGCCAAATCAAGATCTTTTTCCGCATGAGATGATGAAGTAGACATTTTTCATCAGTTTTTTTTTTTATATTATTTCTGTTCTAGTTCGTAGAATACAAACTTAACCTATTTTTATGATACAAATGCATATGCATAGGCGTTATTCAATATATCTCCATTCGATAACAAAAAAAAAAAATACAACAATTACGATTAATTCATGCTTCTTTAGTCAATGGAAAACAGAAATTATATTAAATACAGAAAATTGTAAATAAATCACTAAGTAGTGGTATTAATATACCACTTGTGTTCATTATTCTTATTATTTGAAAAAACAATCGGTATAACTAACGGCTCCAGAATAATACGATCAGGACTTATTAAATCACTCAAACCAATGAAACTTGTAAGTGCATCCATTCGAGGCATGCGCAACGAAGATTTTAATTAATTATTTGTTGCATATACGCGCGTTCGCAATATGAAGGATTCGAAATACCATTAATAGTAATATTATTTTTATTATTGATGAAATTAACAAAAATAAAACAAATTCTAATTGTATTTGAAAAATGTCAAATGTAACATTAAATTAACGATAAGAACAGTTTTAGGTTTATAAATAAGCGTAAAATTGAAATATTTAATAGTTTATTTAATCGTTGGTTTTGGAAATATTTAAATGTATTTCTTTTAATTTGCATGAAGCATATAGTACACGTTTTACTATGTTCTACGTATAGATCTACATACGTTGATCAAAGATAGATAGAACAATATTATTACTTATATTTGCAACGCGTTAATTGTTTAGTTAATTAAGATTTATTAGATTAAACTTTATCAATATATATATATATATATAAATAATAAAATTTCCCTATATATTTTGATCATATTTCTAATCAAAAGGAAGAAACGAGTGATGGACAATGAAGAATTGATGAGAATCATGGAGAATTAATAAATTAAATATATTTGTACTCTCATCAAATGCAAAATAAAATTTATTATCTATTGTTATTAAAATGATAAACCATGGCTCGATTATAGCCACAGATAACAACTGTGTAATTTGAAGGATGCCACCGAGCATCGAGCGCTGTCATCCCTCGAGGTATATTAAAACATAGTACTTCGTTTGGATTCCATTCAAACATATATGTGCTTTCGTTAAATATCAATAATCTGGGATAAACTGGATGCCATTTAATTCCTATATTTATGAAATATAATAAGAGATAAATTATAAACTTATAAGAATGTGTACGATGATAAACAAATGCAAAATACTTGCCAGAAATAACATTTTGCAATAATAAAATATCGATGCTATTTGTTCTAATGTCCCATATCCATAAAGTTCCTGGATAAATTCGATGCCTTACAGCCAAATATTGTCCACAGCTACTGAATTCTAAAATATCTATTATATGTATAATCGATGTTGTCGGATCCCCGCCCATCAATATCTCACTTTTAACAATAGGGATATTAACTGGACGTTCACATACTTCTGCTACACACATAAAAATAATCGAATCTTTATTTTATTCATTTATACAAAATATATAATTATATGCACGCTTACAAATATGTCTATCATAACATATCGATGTTTTATCAGTTGACTTATTAGAATCCTTTGACACTTTAACTATAGATTCTTTGAAAATTCTAGTTAGATAATTACCCGCTTTAATTACAGGTTCCAATCGTAATTGTAAAAGAGGACTCCACGTTAAACAATTTAAAAGAACTATCTATAAATATTTAAATTTATAAGCATACATTTACACGGTATGTTCCACGTAGTAGTAATGTTACATAAAAGTAGTTAGTTTCGTTACCATTTCATTTTGTCCCGAAATAGCTAATAATTGTCCACTATGCATCCATCTAACGATCTCCAATCCTCTTAATTTTTCATCAAATTCTTCAGTCAATATATTTTTAGATATTGCAATACTTTTATTATCAGCTGGTTGAAAAATTCCTTCATAACTTTCAGTGACAGTAGAGTAAATGATCATTTTTGCCGCACCTCCGATTGCGCACCATATACTTATAATTTCACTACTCGGAGACCAACATAATCCATCTATGCAAGTGAGTCCGTCACATATTAATTTCTAAAATAAAATTTATTGTAAAAATATATGCGCATACTAGATCTTATCTAATTATCCACTAGCTAAATTGCATGAATACTTTATATAATTATTTTCAATTTTTCTTTTATTCCCATAGAATATCGAGAGTGTACAATTGCCAAAACAAATGTACATAATGAAAAAATATGTAAAAAAAATTTTCTAATATTACTTTATACAAAACTAAAATACACCATAATATTAATTTATAATGTAATATAAATTAGATTATAATATAAAGTGCAACCACTTCTTGTAATCACACTTATAATAATGTGATAAAAAAATGACATCGTTTGTCTAAGATCACCATAAAATGTAATGAGAGATCCACGAAAAATCTACTAATTCTAGTATCAAGGCATCTATAAAAATCTATCCTGTCACCCACAGTAGCCATATACGTTATCCGAAACATTTGTCAATAAACTAAATCAAGTTATCTTAATTGAGTTAATTAAAGTTGTCTAATCTCATGATTAAAGAATTTTTCACTTCATGGATATTAACTATATTTATGAGTGATTGTATTCATTTTCTATATAAAATCAAATGGAACCACATTGTTCACTGATAATCTGGCCTTCGTAGCACTTAAAAATGTATTAATAAAATAAGTAGCTCATTAAACTCAATGACCACTTATGGTTTTTTTCAAAATAATTGCTAAATAAGCTAAAATATGTCCTAATAACGAAAAATTTGAAGCATTTTGACATAGTAAATGGAACATATTTTTTATGGAAATATCACATTTATTTAGCAATAATTAAACTATCTAGTGTGCCTTTATCCTGTGTACATTGTTACTATGTAAATATATGAACGATGAAAAAATTAATAAAGCCAAACAGAAGCACAGTATTTAAAAATTTATAAATAATTTAATTAACAACATCAGGTACAATCCAATTATTTATTACATCGACAAACTATAAATATTTATAATGAAAATGTTTATAATGTAAGTAACTTATATATATATTATTGGTATTGGTTTTCTTATTATCTAATTTTCTTTCTAAACAAATTCTAAAAATACAATTATACAGTTGCTTTATTTGTATAAAACACATAAACAAAAAAAATCCATATCCATTCTTCTCTTTAAAATAAAATCAAAATCTGAGAATGAAGCACCAAACTAATTTATACCAAATCATCTAATATTTGCCAAGCTTAGATAATTTTCTCTTTAATATCCTCTTTTTATTAAATCTTATAAGAAATATATTGATTTTTAATACTATTTAATTAATCAACAATGTTAAATATAATTAATAATTAATAATTTTATTTAATTAAATGGTATTTACGGTTTAACTTTTTTTTTTTTTATATATATAAATAAACGTGAACCGAGAAATTATTAACATTTTTAAATTATAACAGGTAAATTTTATATATGAAAGATTGCTCAATTTTTATATTGAAAAATCATATTCTTTGATTCTTTTTACTACACACATGTCGAATATTTCCGGTGTATTCGGTTATAGCGTGATCGAGTCTCTTCTTGAAAATAAATAACTTTATAAAACGACTTGTGATAATTATATTTGAAGATTGAATAAGTTAATATATATTGTCAAGTATAAATGATACTTAGAATATATGTTCTAACACTGTTTATAAATAAATATATGGGTTTACGTAAATTTATAGGTTAGTTAATATTTAAAACTATAGAAATACATTAACAAACATTTTATCAAAATGATAAAAACAAATTATATCAGTGCTGCGTGCAATCAATTGTCGCACGCAGCAGATTGGGGTAGAAATAATTTAATATGTTATGCTTCCAATCATGCGATTGTAATATATGATACCAAAGTAAATAAATTTGGATCAATTTTGTCTACGCTACATGAACATCATGATAGGGTCAATGCTGTCCACTGGATCAGACCCGAGTTTCCAGAACTAGAGACAGAATTTATATCAGCTTCTTCGGATGGTACTGCTATTGTTTGGAAGGCTAACAATCAAGCAAAAGGCTCTTTTACAGTAGCTAATACTATCAAAATTAATGAGCCTGTAAATATGTGTGACGCTGTTTATATCAATTCAAATTTACCCGATTTATTAATATGTACTTCTACTGTCAGTGGAGATTTCAAAATATGGTTGAGAATTGATAAACATGAAATTCAAGCTTTCTGCACGATAGACTTTTTTAGCAAATTACCAACTACAGCCAGATTAGCTATGGTTCCAAGAAAATTCAAAGATTCTGCAATTCCACTTTTAATAGTTGGTCTGGAAGATTCAACAGTTGTATTACTTTCAACTGAAATGAACTCTCGAGAAATAATTCAAGGGTAGGTACATAACGACTAACAAAATCTTTATCGATTTTTAGTAAAATTTTTTAAAGATATTTTTTAAAAATATCATTCCAACTTTATATGTAATGGAATTAGGGTAAAATTTCAATATTTTACTTGATACTTTATTTTTAATATGTATATAAAAGTTTTTTAATTTTTCTTATTCTATTATTTTCTTAATTAATAAAATTAAGTACTATAAATGAAATGCTTCTTGCATTAGATCAATATTATTTTAATTACATTATTTTAAATGATAAAATTCATACAATATATTAACGAAAATAAAAAATAGACTTAAAAATTAGAAATGAATTTTTTTTTTTGTATTTTAATGCAATTTTCTTGTTTAATGTTTCTACTAGGCAAATTGGACAATTTGTTCGTGTACAAACTTTAGAGGGCCATGAAGATTGGGTAACATCAATTGATTATATATTCATTGATCCTCAGAATTTATTTATAGCTACAGGTTCACAGGACAATTCGATACGCGTATGGAAAATCATAACCTGTGAGCCAGAAATTTGTCCAAATCATGAAATTTTCCAATACCCAAAACAGCAAACATTTGTTGTGTGTCATGTAAAATATGAAATAATTTTAGAAAGTATCCTTCATGGGCATGATGCATGGATTTATGAAGTACATTGGCATCCCCCAATTGAAATAAACGGCACTTATTCTCAACCTACGAAGTTACTTTCCTGTTCATTAGATAAAACTGCAGTCATTTGGGAACCAAATAATGCTACTGGAATTTGGTCAGAAACTGTAAGAGTTGGAGAAGTAGGTGGAAATTCTCTTGGATTTTTTGGATGCAAATTTAGTCCTGATGGTAAGAATTTTTTAACACATGGTTATCATGGATCATTTCATATGTGGAAATATGACGAAGACTCACAAAACTGGAAACCGAGGACAGCACCAACTGGACATTGTAACAGTGTAGTAGATCTTTGTTGGGATGCCAAAGGACGGTAAGACTTTACTTTATTCTTCAAAAAAAAAAAGCTTTTGGTACTTACATTATATTTTCTCAATTAGATTTTTAATCACTGCAAGTACTGATCAAACAACGAGAATTCATGCTCCATGGATGCAAGAAAATGGAGAGGAATCTTGGTTTGAAATTGGACGACCACAGATACATGGTTATGATATGTCTTGTCTAGCTATTCTTACACCCTGCATGTTTGCTTCAGGCGCCGAAGAAAAAGTTGTACGAATATTTACAGCCCCAATAATTTTTATGAAATTTTTGGAACAAATAACAGATGATGTTAATGACTTTGATGTTAGTGTTATGATTGAAGGAGCATCTGTTCCTGCTCTGGGGTTAACTAATAAAGCTATTTTAGATATGGAGCCTTATAATGTAAATGCACATAATAAAAAGTCTGAAAATTATTGTAAAGATATAAATTATAAAGAGCCACCTTTAGAAGAAAATTTAGTTGAATCAACTCTGTGGCCCGAATTACAAAAGCTTTATGGACATGGTTATGAAATTTTTTCAATGGCAGCTAGACACGATGGAAAGTTACTTGCTACTGCATCCAAATCTACATTGCCAGAACATGCTGCAATCATTTTGTGGAACACAAAAACTTGGAGCCAGGAACAACAATTATCGTCACATCAATTAACGGTTACACAATTAGCATTTTCTCCTGATGATATGTATCTTCTTTCTGTATCAAGAGATAGACGATGGTCTCTTTTTCATTATAAAAATTTAAAATATGAACTACTAATTACTAGTCCTAAACAAGACAAGTTACATACGCGTATTATTTGGTGTTGCGCATGGACACAGGATTCAAAATACTTTGCTACTGGATCTAGAGATGGAAAAATTGGATTTTGGAGTACAAATATGAACATAGATTTACAACCAACACCTGTTACACATCCAATTGTAAATCAAAATTCCGTAACAGCTCTTGCTTTTGCACCTACGCGCGTTCAAGATAAATTGGCTTATATATTAGCGATTGGTTATGAAACTGGATGCATAGAAATTGGAAAAATACAGCTAGCAAACAATAAAGATGCGTTGAGTTGGGTACAAATTGCATTTTTAAATTCATCCCAAGCACATCATTTAACATTAAGGAGGCTAGCTTTTCGTCCAATACATAAAAGTCAACCAAAAAATGTTATACAATTAGCAAGTTGTGGATCAGATAGCATAGTAAAGATTCATAGTATATTATTGAATTAAACATTATAAGAAGACTATTTAATAGTTTAGGTTTTTATAAATATAACAGAATTTTATCTGTTTTGTAATATTAAATTTTATTTAAAATGTAAAAATTACTTACTCTACTTAATTTCCAGTCTTTTGTTTTATATACATCAACACTATCCTGTCCATTATCACTAATAATGATAGCTAAGCTCGCTCCATTTGGACTAAATTCTATTCCTTTAACAGCACTTGATTTTAAATGTTCAATATACACAACATTATAATCAATTAAATCCCAAATTGATAATTCCACCTATAAGAAATATATATGTATATATTAATAAACACAAAAATCAGTAATAAAAATTTACACTTATACTTTTAAATCAGCAACAGTAATTATGTGTTTACTGTCTGGAGCCCAAATAGCACTATGAAGACCAGAACTGCCTTCTGTTAATTTAAATTTCCATTCTGGGTAATATATGGAAAAAATCTGAATAACAGCTTTTTTAAAATTACAGCATAATAGAAATTCACTGTCTGGTGACCATTTAATATCCTGAAATATTTTATTACAAAAACAATATGAAAAATTTATTTTTATAACAAAAGAATTAATTAAAAGTCTCAATGATTCAAATTTATATTATTATGTCTATATATATATATATATATATATATATATATATATATTTAAACAATCCAAGAACTCTATTTTACAAACTAACCTCAATCACATCCGAAAACACGAAAGTTAAATAATCGTCAAAAGTTCCTGTATTTTTTATTGATAAATTAGTTTGATTGGCTAAAGCTAAAAATTTACCATCTTGTGAAAAACTACAAAGATCTTTATTAATTCGAAAAATTTCACTATTTTGTTCATAAGCCATTAGACTACGTTAAAATACAAAATATCTATTCAACATTATGTGGAGAACTAATAATAACTAATAATGTTTCTGCTAACTTGTTTATATTTTATTCCAAATAGGTATACTGAATACATAATAATTACAAAACGATAATAAAATTAATTACAATTAATAACGACAAACTAATTTAATATTAGTTTACAAGTGCATTTTTACACTCCAATAGTTGTAATTAGATTCGTATTTTGATTTTTAGGCGTGTTAAAATAATAAATTTAATATCGTTTCTTTCAACTTTGAAGTGATAAAAAATAAAAAAAATAGTGTACGTTTAATAATATGCTATTGCAAGAAGTAGCAAAATTAAGTTTTTTTTAAATTTGAAATTTGATATTTGAAATGACGTATCCCTTCTCTTCTATTTAATGCAACTGTCACAATATGTACGCGCATTTCTCTATACATAATTTAATCTATTAAAATATATAACAATTTGTTAATACAAAAGTTCATCGATGCTTTATAATTATTTTATTTATTAAATTCCCTTTATAGAGTTTAGAGTTAAATTATAAGAAAGCAGCTATGATTTAATGACATGGAAAACAAATATAGTAACCGAGGCTGCAAAATTTAAGCAGCGACAAACATAAAAGTAGTTTAGTTAATCTGTGTTTATGTTTATCATAGAAAAATGCAAATTGAACTTTATAGAGATGAGAGTAAGAAATCTTTATTACTAGAATAAATATAATATCAACGAACGGCAAAACATTTGAAAATTAAGAAAAAATAAGTTTTTTCCGTATATTCTCTCCATATGCTAATCTCAAATCAGTATTAAATTGCATTTTTAATAATATATTAATCATTTTTTATTGAATTAATTATCAACTCAGATGTTTGCTTAAAATTGAATACTTATGCATAACATTGTTTGCATACATTATTATTATCCATAGTTGTTAAAAGTAATTATGGTAAAAATGCATATAACTTTATTTTGTATATTACATACGTACTTTGGTATTTGTTCGTTAAATTGTATTTTTATTTAAACATAATATTTGGAACTCGTCAATTATACAATGCAAATACCTACACATAAACTAAACTATCATAATCTGTAGCTCTTCGTATTAATCTTCTACCATTCTTTGTGACAGTACTTTTCTTATTGTTTAATATATTTTTCATAAATAATACAAAATGTTCTGCTTTTTTTTTTTTTTTTTTTTTTTTTTTTTTTTTTTTTTTTTTTAAAATCTGGCTTTTATTTAAAAATTCGTAAAAAAATGTATACTAGCAGAGCCTAACGTATAATCTGTTGCACAGTTTGGTTTTCTTTATTCCTAACATATCTGTTTATATCTGACTATTAATTACAAATTTAAAAATAAAATAATTTCATTAATCATATAATGATATTTTATTATTTGCAATTATATACATAAACATATACAAATTTGTAATTCTACATGTGTTTTTTAAATTATAATATATTGTTAATTCTAAATGTGTATGCTTTGTTTCATATTATATTTAGAACTGAATTAATTACCTAATGAAATATAATTAAAATAATCATCTTTTAATAATTTGTTATTTGACATATTTTATATTACAATCTTTTTATATAATAATACAAACAATAATTATAATATATTTTATTATTTATCGACACTTATTATTAATTCTAATTATTACTAATAAATTATAATAAAAATATACTTTATAATATAATTATTGTATGTGATAATTTGTGTGTGATTTATTAAGAAAATTATTATTTTAAGTAGTAGTTCATTATTTTGCATAGATAATGCGATTATTTTAGATAAAATGGGAGCATAAGAAGTGAATATATAGGAATTTTATATATTCACTATTCAATAATCTAAGGAATTTTATAAATGTTCATTGTAAATTTTGAAAATATTGAAAATTTTTGTAAGATTTCAGTTGTTTTTGAAAGTAAAAACCGAGGAAAACTGCCACATTTATAAAAATAAAATAGCTTGAAAGTTTACCATTCGGAGTAATTTCAATTTTCAGAAAGGGATCTACTGTATCGACTGTGCTATCCAGTCTCAATCGATATTACCATACATATAAGAGTTAGATTAACTTTATGCTATTAATATATATATATATATATATATATATATATATATATATGCATACAGGACAATGGTATATAAAAGTTTAGATAGAATAGGTTGGTTATACAGTTCGATTCACTAGGTGCAATAAGATGTGTATCGCATAAAAAAAGTTTAAATGCCGTGAATATTGGTGTTGGTAGTGACGTAAGCTTGAAAAGCATTGGATTTGAGAGGGAATATATAAAAATCAAATGGTTGATAACATTGAAGTGAGCATGAGCACAATAAGGTGGGGAGAGAAAGTGTCGCGGTCGGCAAGTAAAAGAGAATCAAGGGAAGGGGTCATACAGAGAAATCGTAAAGCGTGCAATGTGCATTCGTCGACTCGAAGTATCGCTCACGAAAGCTGGAACTCGTGTTCAGAGTCCAGGACAGTTGAAGCGATTGGTTCGATTAACTCCGACGTGGCCTTTAGGCCGCTAAAGCCCGCGAATCGTGTCAAGAAAAAAGCAAGAGCGCTCGAAGCAAGCGGCGGTGTCAGTGTCGAGTGCCAATTGTGTTTATGCGGATGCCAGGATGGACACGGCTAAAGAAACGAGGACATCCACGAGTAGCTGGAGGATTTCAATGGAAAAGATGAATGAGGATCTAGAGCAGGAACGTCAGCGCTGCAGCTTCGAGCCCTTGGAATTGACACATTTGCTGGATGGGACCCCGGAAAAAACAATGCAGCGACGAGAACGAGGTGCGCGCGCAACTTAAAAACTCTCGATCCTTTCTTTCGAATTCCCCGCTTTGCAGGCTTTTACTTTCACTTTCGTCGGCTTAACTCTTCACACTTCATTACACTTTCGCTTCGACAAAATATTCGACTATTACGCACACTCTCTCCAAACATAATCTGCACTTTCTACCCCTACCTATGTTCGCCTTTCGTTCGCACTTACTCTATTTGCTTTGCACTATCACTTTCGCTTAATTTTGATTTATTTCATTTATTTCGTCAACAATTCTTTTGAAGTCAATCATACACCAATATTATCTAATGTACCACATCAAATTAATTATCTTTTATAAGACTTTTATAAGAATATATTCTATCTCTTATGTCAACTTTATATAATTTCTACAAATTTCTTCTATTTTTACTAATATTAATATTTTAGAAAATACGATAGTATTACATATGTATAAGCGATATTAACATTAATCGAATATCTAAATATAATAACTAAAGTCTAATGACTAAAGTATAAAAATTTTATACTTATATTTTATACATACAAACTTAATAAGTTATTCAAATAATTCTTGTTTAAATTAAAAAATCTATTGTGTTTAAATATATTAATTCTATATAAAATTCTAATTATACAAAACATTTTAAATTTAATCTATTTAAATGTGCAAAGTTTAGGATGTTAAATATGGCGAGAGAAAATGAATATATATTTATATATTTGTAATTGTTAAATTCTATTGTATCAAATATAAAAGTAAAAAAAGTTATTTGTAAATATACATTGAGGCTATATGTGAATAATGTCTCATTTCATTAGAATTGCAATATTTCATCGCTAATAAGTGTAAAATTTATATATGACGTTAATTTTTAAAAATCAAATAATCCTTACACGAAATTCATTGTACCACATTAAACAAATATATTATGAAACAAATATAAATAAATGTAAACAAAAGTTCAGACAAGGTAATGTACGTTATAATACGATATCTTGTTGAAATGTGTACAAAAAATTAAATAATAAAATTTCAGATACAATATAATTTTACTAAATAAGACAAGAGTTGCTTAGTTAATTAATCAATTATTACGCCTGATTAGTTAAATTTTTTAACTTTATTGACTACAAACGTGTATGAATACATTTATCGTTTACACAGAAAAATTTCATACATTTAAATTGGTTATTCTGTAATTATTTTTACTTTACTAATTAATGAATTATTTAAGATATTTATATAAATTTTTTTAATTATTACTATGTTGAGGAAATACAAATGTTAAAGAGAACAATGCGTTAGGTAGGAAATAATAAAAAAAAAGCAAGATTTATATACAATTTTACAACAAAAAAAATTTGGATTAAATGTAATTTCAATGTATTTTTAAAATATAATAAATCTTTCTATTTATGAAAAAATCAGTTTTCAAACAACAATAATATATTATTTTATTTTAAAATAGTATATATTATTATAGACTATTTTGAAAGTATATATTATTTTAAAAAGATATTATTTTTGATTATTTATTTATATATAGAAATATTCATAGGAATTCTGAACTGACATATCTTTATTGATTTAATAAACAAACAAGATTTAATTTTGCCAAAGTATAGAAATTAAATATGAATTTTTACAAAATTTTCATCTAAAATGTAACCAATTTTAATTCTTTGAATATTCCATGATGTAACGTTCTTTCTTAATTGTAATGAAAATAAAATAATTTATTTGACTTGTAATATTTTTGTATGCTTTTAATTTAAAAATATACAACAAGTTTTAATTATTATAATATCATTTCTATTGAGAGAAACTCATTTTAACTTTCTTTTTATCATCAAAAAATCATCTAGTTATAATTTTAAATAAAATTAACATTTATATTTGTTTTTGTATTTATTCCATGTTTCTGTCATGTATGTTGGACTGAAAATATTTCACAAAATCCTATAAGTATTCAAGGTTTGATTATGTCTACGAATACATATAAGCAATTCTACTAACGATTATTATTTGCATTGCACGATCACTAATGCAAATGTAAATGAATAATGATTATTATCAGACAAACTAATTAATATTTATACATTTACTTCATTGCATGATTGAATGTTTTTAATCATTATTCAATCGCTTCTATTGCTTATAATTCGCTAATTGGTAAATCGATGTGAAAACTATGTAAAATTATATTAAAATAGTGAATTTAAAAATAAAATAATACAATCTCTCATCTATACGATCAAATATTACGTATACACGGTCTTAAAAAATAAATTCAACAACTCTTCAAGTTTAAACAAATAGCTTAAAAGTAATTTCTTCGAATTACTTATCTGAAAGTAAATCGATGATTTACAATTCAGATTTCTAGACATTTATCATATACTTATCTGTCCTTTTTTTTTTAAAAAGAATCTGATATTACATTGAATAATATAATGTTTAACTACTTACGATGATTCATTTGTATCAAATCATATTTTTATAAACCACATTTTTATAAGGTAAATGAAATCAATAATTTTATCGTCAACACTTAAATTTAATCAGCTCAAAAATTAAGAAGTAAAAAGTACATTTGAATTGGAAAATTGATTTTTAAAATAGATTTAATTGCAAATATATTCATACATGTATGATATAATCATGGCTATTACGGTATCATTGTTATAAAATATATTATTGTAGTGCTTGTATATTTGTAAATATATATATATATATATATATATATATATATATATGCAGTAATTAATGCTTAGAATACAAATTCGAAGTACCCGTAATATTATTACATTTAATTTACACGTATTAGCTATCGAAAAACGTCATAGCTGATCTGGTCTGTGAAATTTATCGATTTATTACAAACATAGATGTCGGATTTGCTCCATTTACAATTTTTTTCTATACAGAAACATATGAATAAATATTATAAACTTTTACAATCCTAAAGGTTATTATAAAGCTTGCAGAGTTTATATTCTTTTTTTTATTTTTTTTTTTTTTTTTTTTTTTTTTTTTTTTTTGTATTTTTTAACCATTATAATATTCAATTTTGCATTTAATAATTAATATTACTTTGATTATAATAAAGTACGAATCTCTGAAAATATTAAAAATAAGAGCTAATATATATATATATATGTAGATATACCGAGGAATGATGTAAATAGTATAAGCAGCATTAATTCTTTTATATTATATATTTGTAATATATTTTATATATTTTATCCATTAACAATTATACAACTTTATCATAATCACAGATATGTTCTTTCGTTAACTATTAAATTACATAATTAAATAATTATATTACATTGTACCATTTTATATGCATATTATAGTAATAATTAAATAAATAATATCTTGAAATTTTTATCATATATTTAATTTAAAATTAAATGAATATGGCTTTAAAGAAAAAAATTGTACAATAATATTAATTTAAAAATTGCCACGTTATTATTTAATTATTATGCACAATATATAAATAAATAAAGTAAAATAAATATAAATTATGTTTTTTTTTTGTTTTTTTTTTAAATCATTGTAAAGTATAACATAATATTAATGTAATATTAATACATAAAATGAGGTCTCATTTAAAATTATCGTAAAATTATAACACTGTATGTAATAAAAATGATAAAAAGATAAAGTATCAATACAGATATTTATTAAATTATATAAATCATCAATGTACGTTAATTATCAAGGATAATAATAAATATTATTCCTTTATTAGATATAAATTTAAATAATAAGAAAATGTTTGACATTCATGCTTACTACAATAATACTGTATCTCAGATATAAGAAGAATGACTAAAGTAACTACATTGCAATTACATTTAAAATAAATATATTTATGGATGTGTAATAAATAGGATTTTAAATAAATTTGTTAATATAGTTTACATAAGATGTAATAAAAACTGAACTATAATCGTCAATCGAGATTCTAGATTTTGATATAACTTAAAAGTTTAATGGTAAATTTTATTTTTCAATAAGGAACATTAGATTTTATAAATATCTTAAATTTTTATGCTTAACAAACTTCAAAATCCAAAAATATCTTGTGTTTTTACTAGTTTCAGCAGTCATTACATCACTAATTTAATGTTTGTAAATATTATGAACTATTTCATAAATCATTGTATTTAACGATACGAATATTCAAATTATGAATTATCAAAAATATGTCTTCAAGTACGAACTTCATCATTTCCATAGATGAAAACTACACATATTTATTTTTAAATATTACAATATCCATAGTTATAAAAAGCTAACATTTTCATATTACTGTAAAAAAAAAAAAAAAAAAAAAAAAAAAAAAAAAAAACCCATTAAATATATTATTATCCCAAACAAAGTATACTTTATTACAAATTATTACATACGTGTTCATTTAGAAATATCAATGAGAGTATGAATAAATATTATTGTTTGCTTATAATTGTTTGCTCAAGAAAATTGATTTAATACATCAATTCATTAAAAAATAAATATTCATAAATATTTGATAATAATTGTAAATATTTTATTTATTGAGACAGTAAACACATTAGTTGACATTAATTAAATGCAAATGTAAAATAATTAATCTTACATCGAAGTTATATGGAATATCTGCATCGCATATTTCCTATAAACGCCTTAATCATTTGCTTCTTATTTAAAATGTTAAACAGAATAATATGTTTTTTATACAGAAGCATTGCTTAGCTTTTTATATAAATAACGACTAGATAAATGTTTTATTTCACATATTTTATTATAAAAATTGTATTAACTTGAGCATGTTTAAATTTCAGTTAAAAAGTCAAATATAAAAAAAATATATAAATAAACTTGAATTTAATATTTTATTCACGAGTTATCTTTCCGTATTTGTTTTTTAACATAGTTTTTTTTTTTTTTTTTTTTTTTTTTTTTTTTTTTTTTTTTATAAAAGTAAATATCAATAATAAAAATTATAGATTAAAGCTAAATCAATATTGATTTGTAGTAGAAAAACTATTAAAAAAAATGCATCATTTCTTTATAAAAAATATAATGCTTTAACAATAAATAAACATTCAATTAATAATTTTTTTTAGTTTTTATAAGAGAATATTCTAAATCGTATAAACACACTGAATATAGGCAACGTTACATAATCATTGTGCGCCTGCATCTGAGAAAATATGCTCTTGTATCATTTAGGAATGCATATGAATTTTATAATTATCGTTGATCCCTCTTCAACCCGATTTGGCCAATAATTAATTTATTACGATGAGTAAAAATTTGAATAAAAAATAATATTTAATATAAATTTTATATTGGTTTATAAAATAGTAATTAAAAATAATAATAATAATAATAATAATAATAATAATAATGATAATAACAATAATAATAATAATAATATAAAAATGAATCCCTTTGCTAAATTCTAAATTTTATAATACATTGAATTTTATTATATAATATAAAAAAAATAGATATTATATTCAACACAATGAGATACAAAATTATATGTATATATATATATATATATATATATGTATAATCATATTTTAAAAATCAATATTATAGTGTATAAAATTTTTTTGTATAATCTCCGTTCTATATTTAATTATACTTATAAAAGATTTTTTTTTACAGAAGAGTATTTTTTACGCGATCCTGAATTATTAGACAAGACCCCAGCTAAGTATAAAAGTCACAAGGAAGTCTATGAAGACGCTGTTCGCAAAGGATGTTTAATATTGAAGAAAGTTCAAGAACTTCATAACATGGGCAAAGGAGATATGGACGTTTTTTCGTAAGTCATTATTAAAATCGATAAACATAGTTTTGTTGGAAAAATTTGTTTATGCTTTTGATGCAGAAATACTGAAAAATAATTGAAATTCATAAATATATATAATTATTGAAATAATAATGATTTGTTTTTTTGTAAAAAGTATTTTGAAAGAGTAAAAACTTTTACGTAAGGCAATTAAATTTTATTATCTAACATTAAGATAATATATTGAAGATTAATAATTTAATAAGAATATATTTTGTACGAAAGCGTGCGTTTGCTTTAAAACGTCAAAGTCTCTCGAAAGTATCGAAAATATATTAAATTAAAATAAAACTATCCCAAGAAGCCTATTAGATTAGCCGAAGATCTATTTCAAGACATAGGATTTAAAAAGCTTAAATATTTAATATAAATATTAAATGAAGATTGGTGCATACAATATCGTAAAATTATATGCATATTTATTTACATGGATTAATGATAATTTCTTCAAAAAAAAAAAAAAAAAAAAAAAAAAAAAAAAAAATTCTATCTCTATTATTTTCATTAAAACTAACTTTTATTACTAAACTTTTACGAACAAAAAATAAAAAATCACAATATTATATTAGATATTACAATAATTTCAAATTCCATACAATAATTATAAATAAAATAACAAAAGATCACAATTATTTAATGCTATTCCAATGAAAATAATACTAATATTTAATATATTCAAAAAAAAAATTTTTTAGCTATTCAGAGATTCAATTTATAATACCGAATTTATGATATTCTTAATAATTCACGGCAATGCGTTGACTTGTAAAGGTTTGAGCTCCGACATTGACTCTATCCGGACATCCGGCGTACGATACCATAAAATGCCAATTAAAATGCGTTATAAAAAAATAGCTGCAATTATAAATAATAGGAAAAATAACTATCAATGTATCTTATAAATTTTTTTATTTTTTCTCTATTCCTGTATCTCGTAATAAAAAATCTTGTTTTTAATAAGATACGTGGCAATGATATCTCGTAAAAAAAAAAAACCTTTGTAATATATGCACAAGTATTATTCGATATTTTTTTTTTGCAAAAATAATGTTAGCTATTAAAAAAAAAAGTTTAAAAAAAGTTTAAAAATATTTTGACAGACAAGTATTGGGAGGCACTCTGGGATCTGCCATATTAAAAGATGGTAATCCCTTAACATTACACTGGGTGATGTTCATTCCAGCTATAATGGGCCAAGGAACTGTTGAACAACAAGGACATTGGATATCTCGAGCTTGGTCGTGCAATATCATTGGCACTTATGCTCAAGTATATTTTATTTGAACTTTGTATTAATCTGATTTAATTGTAAGTGAATGTCACACAATGCAATGAAATTGTTTTTTAAAAAAGAAAATGAAAGGAAAATACTTTATCATTAATTGCTTGAAAGCTGTTGTGTTTAGTTGAAATTTAATTAAATTAATACTCGGTATTTAAATTCGTTAAATAAAGCAATAAGATATTAAATTATTGTTAAAAAAAAAAAAAAAAAAATTTTTTTAAATTACAAAATTTGTATGTATATTTTATGTATGTAACGCTATTATCGCGTTATATATTAAAGTAATGCAAATAAATTGAAAGATTTAATTTTAACAATATTTAATAGACAGAGCTTGGCCATGGAACATTTATTAGAGGATTAGAAACAACAGCAACCTATGATCCTGCAACGGAAGAATTCATTTTAAATAGTCCGACGTTAAGCTCCTACAAATGGTGGCCCGGAGGACGTACGTTGCACATACTTTATATTATAAAATCTCAAATTATTTATTAATGATATTTATTAATTTTCTACAGTTGGCCATACGGCAAATTATGCTGTAGTTGTAGCACAATTGTATACTAATGGTCATTGCAAAGGAATTCATCCATTTATAGTTCAACTTAGAGACGAAGAAACCCACGAGCCTTTATCGGGTAATGACTAATTACTTTTATTACAAACTGCAATTTCTATAATCTACGAATAATTTATATAATTAATATATCTCAATTTTAAGGTATTAAAATTGGCGAAATTGGTACTAAATTGGGAATGAATGCAACTAATAATGGTTTTCTTGGCTTTGATAATGTCCGAATTCCAAGAGAAAATATGCTAATGAAAAATTCAAAGGTATTTTCATTAGTTTTAATATTGTTATCCAACATTAAGACGAATAATATTATTTATAATTATATTGTTCATGTTCATTTAGGTTTTACAAGATGGCACATATGTGAAAGCTTCCAACGACAAACTTACGTATGGTACAATGATGTTTGTCAGAGTAGTTTTAGTAAGAGACATAGCGAAATATCTTTCTAAAGCGGCTACGATAGCAATTAGATATAGTATCGTAAGAAAACAAGGCCAAATAAAGTCTGAGTAAGCAATACCGTGTTTATAATAATTAGCAAATTATAGTGTTTTGAATGTAAAAATCAATATTAATTGTTAATATTTATTGAATTTCATACTTAATACTAAGTTATGTAGAGAGAGAGATAGAGAGATAGAGAGATAGAGAGATAGAGAGAGAGAGAGAGAGAGAGAGAGAGAGAGAGAGAGAGAGAGAGAGAGAAAGAAGCTTTATCTTTTATATCGGAAAAAAAAAAAAAAAAAAAAAAAATGCATATGGCCAAATAATAACTACGTTTGTTAATTAATTTTTATTTCAAATGGAAACTTTCAATTATTCAAACTATTATAATGCTATCGAGGGTAATACTAATCATTAAACTCGTATCTTTAAGTTGAATCCATTTGTTTATTATCATCTGTTCTTGTCGTATCATGCAGTGATATAAAATTATATCGTATTTACTACCTTAACTTATGAATCAATAATAATTCATAACGAAACATTTCCCAAAATACCAGTAATAATCGAATAAATTTATATTTAACAAATATTTGTTAAATTACACTCGATACGTCGAAATTGTTAATCCGGTTAGCGTGCCCTCCACGATTAAAGCCAAGGCATTAAAAATTTCCAATTTAATTTTTGTTTTCTCTTGAAGAAATATCAGACTAGATATTGACGCTCAGAATGATAACGTGTTTTCTTTATTTATAAAATAATTAAGGACTAAGGGCTCATATTATATACGGAGAATTAGTAGCAAATTATATGTGACATTTTGTCAATTACCCATATGTTGACTTACACGATTAACGAACGATTGTAAAATATTTTTAGTGGACCAGAAACTCAAATTATTAATTATGTCACTCAACAGTATAAGTTGTTCCCTCACTTGGCTACGTGCTTTGCCCTTTCATGGGCAGCTGATTGGATTTGGGAAATGTACAATAACGTGACGGCAGAATTGGACGAAGGAGAATTGGATAGACTACCCGAGGTAAGGTTACATAGTATTATCGAGCTATTAATATTGGCTAACAGCTTGGCCATAGGCATTTTTACATTATTTCTAAGTGGCATCTAATTGATAAAGGCTATCGCGAACCGACGATTTTTAGCTCCACGCGTTGGCCTGTTGTTTGAAAGCGGTCGCTTCGTCGGATGGAGCAATGGGCGTTGAGCAATTGCGACTCTCCTGCGGTGGTCACGGCTACACGGATGCTAGCAATATGCCAGCGACGTATGGCCTCGTGACTGCAATTTGCACTTACGAAGGCGAGAATACGGTGTTGCTTTTACAAACGGCACGCTATCTCGTCAAGGCCTGGAAGCAGGCGGTTAGCGGCGAGGCACTGCCACCTACGGTTAAATACCTCGAGCTGCTCTCCCGTAAGATAAAGCAGCGTCCCTGGAAAAACACTCTTACCTGCATTGTTCGGGCTCATCAGGCTGTTGCTGCTGGGTCAGTGCTTTCGTGTATAAGAAACGAACAAACAAAAATAATAATAAATTAATTAATAAATAAATAAATAAATACGGTTATTTAGACTATCTTTATGTCGGCGTTGACGTTTCGCTTGCTTCACACGACGACTCGAGTGTCCGATCGACCGATTATCATAAACACGCGATATCATAAACAAGCTGTGCTTGGATTTGTATTATTTGAATATAAAATTCATTAAAAATGAATTTCATCTGAATTAGCTTTATGAAAATTACACTACCATAGATAAGGGAGATAAATTTTTGCATTATTTTGTGTAATATGTTCTCACATCTTACAGAAAAAAAAAAATCTGCCAAATATTATTACAAACGTAAGAGAAATATTAACACCATGGAATACATAATGGATCGCATCGTTACATTATAATTAAAAAACAAAAAAACAAAAAAACAAAAAAAAAAACAAAAAAAAAAAAGTCAGTATCCTTGAAAGTATTGAAATATCTACAGCATATAGCTATAATATTAGAATAGAATAGAAATAGAAATAGAATAGAAATAGTACAATAGAAAAGAAATTTATTGTTTTTTTTTTTTTTTTTTTTTTTTTTTTTTTTTTTTTTTTTTTTCTTTTTGTAACAATACACATAAAAACTAATTTGAGAAAATTTGTTAATAGAAAAATCAAGCAAGCGACCGACAATATGGATCGTCGCATACATTGTGGATTATCGCCGGAGGATGCGTGGAACGAAACAAGTATTGAGTTGGCACAGGCTGCCGAATCACATTGCCGTGCTTTTATCGTCTTGAGGTATGTCGAGACAGTCAAGGGTCTAAGTTCAAGCATTTCGAAATCTCTAAATGACGTCTTGATGCAAATGTGCGAATTGTACGTCATTTATTGGATCTTGCATCGTCTCGGTGATTTTTTACGAGTAAGTTCTTATCTTTTATGACAGCACTTAATTGTTAAATTTTTTTTGTACTACTCAATGATAAATAAAAAGTTACTTTTAATTATACAAATCATTTCATGAATTTCAATATGATTAATGTGATATTTTAAAATTTTTTAAATGCTAGGTTGAAAAACATTCGTAAGATAAAAATATAAATTTCATTCGTAAGCAAAAACGAATTCTATATAATTATATATAATAAAACCTTATGATATTATTCACGTTTTTGTATAAATTTAGAATGAATCAAAAATTGAAAAATTAAAATTATTATAAAAGGTAAACAAATGGAAAAATATGAGATATTCATTAGCAACATTTGCTCACTAGCTTTATTTTTATCAGCTTTCATCTAATTCCTCTATTACTTGCTAATAAAGCAATCTGAACTCGCAATTTAAATCTTATATACTTTGTTGTAATATAAGGTAACTTACGGTAAGCAAAAGTCTCATTAAGTGACAAATAAGTTTACTGTATATGATTAAAACGAATATAATTATTATTCATTGTTTAATATTTAACGATGCTAATTTTAAAATACATTTTAATTTTTTTTCTTTATCGATAATTTTATTTTTAGATCATCAAACATTTTTTTTTTTTTTTTTTTTTTTTTTTTTTTTTTTTTTTTTTAGATATTTAGTGCTCTGATGAGAAAATTTGTTAAAATTGTAAATCAAGTGACTTTAATTGCTGATTGAGTTGAACAAAAATTTTGCTTCACCTTACATATAATCGAGACATAAATTTATCAAATATATATTAAATATAGTTATTACGATTTAAAAATTTATTATTTTTATAATGTAAATATTATAAAACTTGATCTATTTAACTCATAATTGTGTGTATTTTATACAATATTTTATAATAATATTGTATCTTAAGCGTAGGGGAATATGAAAGCTAAAAATTAAATATTAAATACGATGATTAAACGTTAGAGTGTAATTAATTTATTGTTAAAAATATTGGTTCATTTTTACATTAATATTAAGGCGATGGTTAATTATGAAATCATAAAAACGTTGATGATTTTTTCATAAATAATGACTTCCACCCTTTTACATCGTCAATAATGTAATTATTTATATGACAAATGCAAAAGTGAAAGTGTAAACGAATGTGAATTAAAAGTAAAGTCAGACTTGACATGTTAAGATTCAATGTAAAAGTATGGTTTGTTCAACAGTTTTCGTGCCTAAATAATGATGACGTGCCTTCTTTGCAAACACGACTGGAGAAAATGTTGATGGCTATTAGGAGAAATGCAATCGGCATTGTCGACGGCTTGGACATTCGGGATGAAATATTAGGCTCGGCTCTTGGCGCCTACGATGGCAACGTTTACCAACGACTCTACGACGAAGCGATGAAGAGTCCCCTCAATCAGCAAAGCGTTAATGAATCTTATCATAAGTACCTAAAACCTTTTATGAAAAGTAATTTGTGATACAGGCAATTCTAAGTGTATGAACGTAATCAGAAGGTATGAAATCATTTCGATAAATTGAATAAGATGGTAAAATCGTAAAAAAAAAACAAAAAAAAAAAAACAAATAATAATAATAATAAAATAACGTTCTCACTTAGATTTAATTATATTTACTAATTGATGTTAGCCAATATCTTTAAAGAATTTAAGAAAATTAACTTTTTCGTTTTTTTTTCTTTTTCTTTTTTTTTTTTTTTTTTTTTGTTTCCTTTCTTTATACTTTATCTTTGAAGATATAAATCTACACTTTTGGTAGAATGAATGACCATTTAAAAGAAAGAGCTCAGTTTCGTTTATTCGCATAAAATAATAACATTTTTATACCAAATATAAGTGAACCAACATTGTAATTATTAATTATCAATCTTACAATTTTTTGTTTTTTTTTTTTACGAATTATCCAGTTTGTTTTTTAATTTTAATTTTATTATAAAAGTGCTATTGAAAAAAGGATATAAACATTTTTAAATACTCTTCAAAAAAATTACAATTGAAACTTCCTTAAAATATAATAATGTATATTATATTTTTCCTATTATTATTATTATAAATAATAATAAAAACATTCTATAATACTATGTTATTAATATCTCGTATTGTTTTACAAACATAAATAAAAATAATTTTCCAAAATTTTTATTTTATTTTTTACAACTTATTCTATTTATGTCGAATAATCGTTCAATCAAGATCATTAATAAATCAATCAAATGCTGATTTTCTAAGTTCGATTATTTTTTCAAAGCTCAATGAAAAATTATAAATTTGTTTATGTTTCCATTATTATAAAATATGTTTCGTAATAAAATTATCATTGATAAGTTATTTAGAAGCATACTAATTTAATCGATTCCCGTTGTATTATTTTTCGTTAATAATTCTAATATAAGTTAATATTTAATGTTTTTAAGTAAATGAGACGTGTCGATGGTTTATAAAATTTATCAAAGTGTAAAATATTATTATGTTAAAATTATAAACATATTTAATTATGATATTATATAAAGGGAATATTGATGATATTAAGTGAGATTATGAGAATAATAAATATTTTTGTATAAAAAATAAATAAAAATTGTTAAGTCAATAATTATTGTACTATTAATTACCATATCACGATATCATTTTATAATTGTTAAATTAATAATTCAGTGAAAATTACAACGCATTATTTTATCACATTTTCTTCAGATATTCAAATATATCAACCGCATAGAGATAAGTCTAACTAGACTTCAATAAAATGTATAAAAAATAACTTATTTAATGTAATTTTAATATATTATTATTTATAAATTTAATGAAAATAAACATTTTCGTAAAATTAAACTCCATTACCTGAATTGTAAAATACTAGTTTTCTACGTTTCTCGTTACTATTAATAGTCGAGTGATGTAGAATGCGATAATCATCTGAAATGGCGTTATAGGATAGTTAAAAGTTTACGAAAGTCATCACGAAACTATTCTAAAAAAAAAAAAAAATAGATATATTTAGTGGATGCCCTTATAACGATGACTCATAGAACCTTCCGATCTATTTATTTTTCTATATTAATATAATAAATACTAATTCAATAATTTGTGTTTGTATAAATAAATATTTAGAATCTTAACGAAATACAAAATTTTATGTAATAAAATAGATGGTAATCGTGATCGAATATTTTAATATTAAGAAAAATGTTAGATAAAAAGCTTAGAATTTATGCGATAAAAGCGCTAATTTATTGTACATCAAAGCAAAGAGCTCGAACTTTAGTTCTATTTTTACGTTTACTGCAGTTACAACAAATAACAAAATTTAGATAATAGGTGCTGACTATTTTCAATAAAAAAAAAAAGAATATAGCGGTAGTGAATAAATTAAAATGTTATTAAATAAGTTTTGTTCTTATACACTATAACAGTTATATATAGTCCGAATTAGTGTGTTAAAAATCTTGATCTAAACATACTATAATTTATTAAATAATATTTGTTAATTATAATGAAAAGTTTCAATGATACATTACGTTATTTAAAGAACAGACCGTTTATGTGCAACTTTTTGGGGAATTAAAGAGACTTTAACATATACTTTTAAATAAAAATCTACATTTTACAATTAAAATGAATTAGTCCGGTATAGATATATCTACATTTTAAGTTGATTTTTTCAAAAAATTATTTTATATGATGGAATGAATTTCTGAACGTGTTAATCAATTTTTCTCTTATTCATGGATAAATTTAATGTATTCGAACCATAATTCTAAATTATATTAAAAATCTCATACTCTTTTTAATTGGCAAAAAAGAATACTTAATTATTCATTAATAAACTGTATGTAATATACTTTATTAATACTGTTAACTTATACATTCAACTTATATTAAAATTGATACATTAAAGTACGCTAACGTAGAAAAATTACTAAAATTAATTTTAAGAAAAAATTCAAATCTTTTGAAATTTTTAAATTATGTAGTCATTTATCTTATATTTATCATTTAAAATTTCTATGAATTCCATAATGTTTAAATCAGCAATTAATCGAAATAAAAACTTAATTATTCTAAACTTTTAAATTGCAAAATCCTGGTAAAGAATGAAAAGTAATAGCAACTTAAATAAGTACAATTAAGGTTTTTAATAAACCACAAGGCTATATTTAATCATATCATATATATTTAAATTACGATTTTTTACATAATAAAAACTTCAGTGTAAATTGTAAAAATCTGTATTGCATAAAATATCTGTACAATTAAAGATAAATCTTTGAAAACATATCATTTGAAATCGACGTAATAAATTGTCATTTCAAACATTCTCGTCTATAATTATAATACAAAAACATTACACTGGTGCAGTGTAAAAAAATGATTATTTTTATAAATAGAAAATGGATAAATAAGCAACATTTAAAAAAAAAAAAAAAAAAAAAAAAAAAAATCAAAACTCAAAGATTTTTGCTTAATATATAAATTTATCTAATAGCTTAATTAGACAGTAAACTATATTAAATTTAATTTTAGATATTTACTAGACACGTACATATAAAGCTGGCTGTATAAAAATATATCTTAATACAAAAAGTAAGCATTTATAAATAAAAAGTCTTAATTTATTTCTATTTATGTGATTTACCAAGTTTATAATACAGTATAAAAGTACAATATATATATATATATATATATATACACTTAATACATAAATACGTATATTACTTATGCCATAAGTAATTTTAAAACATAATAAAGAAAAATTTTTATTTATTTAAAAATATTGAAATTATAAGAATGCCTTACTTAATTTTGTCATTCTATTATAATTTTTGGTCATTTTAATTAGTAATGTATTTTTTTTTTTCTAATTACATTCAATCTTAATCAATTAAGAATTTCATCAATCAGAACTTTTGGAATATTATTAAAACATATATTGAACGTAGCTTAAAATGTTGCCTTTCACATTAAATTTCACTTTAGCAAACTGAGAAAATATTTGTCTTTTATATAGGTTTCATTCGGAAATATTTTACTATTATATATATATATATATATATAATTTTTTTTTTTAATTTGCTTGCACCGCCTTGATTAAAAAATAATTGTAATATAAATCATCAGATTATGTTATGCCATATTAAAATTAAAATATAAATATATTCATTATGATTTAATAAGATTTTTTAATTTTTGTAATAATTCCTTGGCTCTATAATAATGTTTATTATCAATAATACAGGACATTTATTAGGCTTGGAGTATTTTGCTAAACATCTTCTTCAAGTATCAAACGAACTTGAACACCATAAACTTTACCAAATTCATTTAATGTTTGTAACATGTCATTTCCTGTTCTTCAATTTCATCTATAGATTATTTTCCTAAAGAATATCAACAATTAATCTATCTTTTTTCTATAATTCTGTTTTTCCTATAAGATTTGAATGCTTATCGATTATAATAACTTTTGATTTTCATTTTATCATTCATATTATAATTATCATAATTATTATATTTAGTTTTTGAAATTTGCATCATTTATAAATAGCGCATACTAATTTAATTTAATATTTATAATGAAATATTCTATACCAATAATAGAATCAATGGCTGTTTTTGCTTGCTTGACTTTACTTAACTACTGTATAATTCGCCTAATTCACTATGTAGAGTATAAAAGCAGATGTGTGCGCTCAAAGATATTCGTTTTATTACATTTGTATTTGTGATCTAAATTTATATTTAAATATAATTTAACAGTAGAAAAGAAATTTCTCCACATTTTAAGCAAACGATATTCTTAATTGATATTCCAGCTTTACTAAAATTAAATTAAATTAAATTATAAGAGTTTTATTAAAATTTAAAACTTAAATCCAAGCTATTCAATTTTTATACCTCCCAAGATATAGTTTAATCGATAGAAAAGATGGTGAATGTTCCATTGTTCTATGTTTTAAAAAATATATCTTCTTTCTATCGTACTAATACATACTCTGATTATGAATTAAAGTTATTAACTCATAATATTACTAATATACATTTTCAACTAATTTGATATAAAATATTTATAAAAATATTATTATAAACAAATAATAAATGTTAACAATATATTTGAAAAATTTACGGACAATTTTGGATAAATGACTCGTCGATTAATTGTATTTTCAATAAGCCCGATCGTGTAAAATAATTAGATTAATTTAATATAAAAACTATTTATGCATATGTATATATATATATATATATATATATATATATATATAAAATTTTGTTGAAATAAAATAGACTTGTAAAGAATAATAATGTATAAACAAACAGTAAATTATTTTAAAATATTTTAATTGTATTAGATTTTCAAATATTTAATAGAATTTATAATTTATGCCAATAAGAATGGAATTTATAAATTCTTACGACAACAAGTTGAAAAAATCCCATAAATATATGGTATTATGGAATAATAAAGAAATAACGAAGCGTGCTTTTGAAGGTGTCTATATGTGAATTTTACTGTAAAAATTTTGCCTAATCCATGGCCAA